TGGAGGTGATTATATCTATCTCCTTTTGTATGTGGATGACATGCTTATTGCTTCTAAGAGAAGGGTGGAGATAGATAAGCTAAAATCTCAACTTGGTAAAGAATTCGAGATGAAGGATATGGGCGCTGCAAGGAAAATACTAGGTATAAAGATTAGGAGAGAGCGGACGAATAGGCGATTATTCTTGAGTCAGAAGGGATACATAGAGCGGGTGATTACGAGGTTCGGGATGCAAAATACAAAGTCGGTGGTGACTCCATTGGCTCCACATTTTAGGCTTTTAGGTAAACAATCTCCTACTACAACGGAAGATAAGGCACACATGGAGCATGTTCCTTATGCTAGTACAGTTGGCAGTTTGATGTACGCCATGGTGTGTACACGCCCAGATATTTCACAGGCGGTAAGTATGGTCAGCAGGTTCATGACGAATCCGGGAAAGGTGCACTGGGAAGCGGTGAAATGGGTCTTGAGGTACTTAAAGGATACTGTGGATACAGGTTTGTGTTTTGGTAGAGATACATGTCAGATTGATGGGTTTGTTGACTCGGATTATGCGGGCAATCTAGATAGACATCGATCTACTACTGGTTATGTATTCAAGATACATGGAGCTCTAGTTAGTTGGCGATCGATGTTGTAGGCTACAGTAGCTTTCTACTATAGAGACAGAGTACATAGCCATGGCAGAGGGAGTGAAGGAAGCATTGTGGTTGTAGGGTCTTCTAGACGATTTGGGGATTGAGCAGGAGAACATGAACTTGTGGTGCGACAGTCAGAGTGCGATTCACTTGGCGAAGAATCAAGTTCATCATGCTCGTACCAAGCATATAGATGTTATGTATCATTTTGTGCGGGATGTCATAGAGGAATGTGATATTTCTCTCATGAAGGTGCATACGAATGAGAATCTCGTAGACATGTTAACCAAGGTGGTCACAGGTAGCAAGTTTAAGCATTGCTTGGACTTGCTTCATATCAGCCTGTGTTAATTTGCCCAAGAGGGTATGGCCCTTCGGGATGGTGATGGGGTGAGGTGGAGACTATGGAGAACAAATTCCTAAACTACGGTTAGCTTGATCCCGGTGGAGGGTACGTAGGCAGCGCGGTAAAGTGGCGCAGCTGGTCTTTTGGTCTGGTTTGGTATTTCAGATATCTCTGGTGATGTTCGCGATTCTTCTGATGTTCGTCCAAAATTTGAGGTTTTATCAAATGATGTACGAGGTGGAGAATTGTGAACACGTGGGACAGCCTGGCATCTCCAATCGAGTGAATGGCTGGCACATGGGAACAGCCTGGAAAATTGCAGGCACGTGAATGGGTAAGAGGCAAATAAAATCACGTGAATAGCGGTTTTCATCACAGGCCCACCAATCTCCTATAAATAGAATAGGGTATTCTAGGGTTTTGTGCAGGGGAATTTTTTGCCGACTGCAGTGCTGAAAAACACAGGTGTAAGGGGAAAAGACTGCGAAAAAAAGGCAGAGAGAGTTTTGCTTTTGGCGGCTGAACGTGAGTTGAAACAGAGAGAGAAAAAGAGGGATTTTACAAAAAGAGAGGTTAATTTCTTTTGGGTAAAAATTAGATCTTTTTTTTTAAGACGAGCTTGTGGATTGTACAAGTCGTCGGTGTTCTCCTAGAAGTGGAATCTTCCCTCACCCCTCTCGTGGACGTAGGCAATTTTGTCGAACCACATAAATCTCGTGTCTTTATTGTTTTCTGGGTGTTGGCTATTGCTTGTAGGTTCCCTTGACATTTCAGTCCTAGAACTGATGAGAGGAAGAGTGCATATTTCACTTTGTTGAAATATTTTACTTTTTATTCTAGTTTCCTGTGAGAAACAAGAATTTCACTATCTAATCTAGTTTCCTTTGAGAAACAAGAATATAGAGGTTGACTTGTGCTTTTTTGTAACAACAAAAGCCAGGGCTTTCTCTCAGGTGATATCGCTTCCGCGGCGATGTGCGTGACTCTACACCCAACACTTTATATATGTTCACTTCACTTCCCTCCTCTTTATTAGAACTCTCAGACAAGTTAAAATAAATTTACTTCCGCTCCATTTACTGAACTCCCAAATAATATTTTATTTTTTCACTCTCCTTCTCTACATTTCATTTCTATTATTTAGCTTTCCGTCCCTTCTCTTCCCTTAGTAAACTCCCAAACAAAGTGTAAGACACTTGGATAATTTCTCAAGCGCCTAACTTTCTGCTCATTCACACATTAATTGTTCAATATTATGGATGGCAAGTGAAGACCAGAAAAACAATATTTTGTATGTTACTGTATTATCGGTGAGACTCATCTTATCCTAAAATTTAAATCAAGCCAACTTAGTCAAGGAACGTACTTCGTCGAGACCAATGCATTAGAATACAAAAGCATCTTTGGGCTGTCTCCTTCATTCCCAAACAAAATCTCAATGAATTAAACAAAACAACAACCTAACTCGTGCAATTTTCAAATAAGCATATCTCTGTTCCCCAAAGATTCCTGTGCTAGATTTCATTCAACCACCGGTCGATGAGGCTTGCTTCAGTTCTAAGGCTACACTTGATGCCCAGCTGAACCTTAAACATCTCGAAATTCGATTCACTGTAGACCTAATATGCCTCCAAGATACACATCAGCGGACGAAAGCTTATAATAATATCTGCGTTAACTTATCGCTTATCTCCTTTTATTTATGTCATATTTTGCAACCGGGCCAAATTTGCACCACTTCACGTGGACCCGTCGATTGAGACCTTGACCAAATCATAAGGATGAAAAAAATGGATGCAAATACTAAATATGTAGATCAAAGTATCATATTATATCAATGTTCCCTTTGAAACACGTGAGATCAGATAAATCATTTTATGATTAATATTATTCTTTGACCCTAGTTGATACAAATATAAGTATCCGCTCTGTACTTGATATTCGAACATACATGTTGACCAAATAATTAAATTATTTTGAGCTTTGGATTTGAGGCCAATGTTGATGATCCAGGGTCTAACTGTCTGAGCTTATCTTTTCAAATATGTCAATTGTGTTGATGTTATAAATCTATATCCATATCCATATCTATATCTATATCTATACTACATATAAAAGAGGATTGCCTTGTCAAAACTTTTAATTTTTATTTTTGCCCTTTTAAGTTTGATAATTCCCAAAAAGATCATTAGTTTTAATTAATCATTCACTAATTATATATAACCTCTTATTAATTACGCATCTCTTCACTTTCTCAAAACCTTTGGTCACACTATTATTTTATTATTTAATTATATTATTAATAAAAATTAAAAATTTATCCATAATTTATTTTCACATAATATTTAAAAATTTTGAAAAAAATAAAAGATAAAAAAATTCATTAGGCTTGTGCTTTATGCCTTTGGGTTTTATCTCTTATAAGGGACTACCTGTCACCTTTCATCTTATTAGCCCTTTAAAAGTATGATAATAGTTTAAAAATTTATTTATATTTATTATAATGATAATAGTATTAATAGTATAATAATTTTAATACTATTTTTAAATTAATAAATTACACTATAATTTAATAACTATACAGTTTAGTAAATTATTTACTAATAGTGTTGTAAACTAATTATGAAATTAAAATGTAATTACTAATAGTATTATAACTATGCTATGTATAATATTATTATATGTAAAAGAGAAGAAATTATTTAATATATTATAACTATGTTAATAAATTATAAATAAGTTATAACAATTATCTAAACTATAATAATTAACCATATAGTTCTTTATACACAGTTTTATCGTACAATTTATTCATTTATATAAAATTATAACTATTCAAAATTTATATTGGTATATAAGTCATTTCATTATTTTGCAACCAACAAAAAAAATTTAAAAACATAAAACAAAACAGATATGCCCTACTGCAAAGCACGTGCACTATACTAGTATATCTAAAAGACTTTTCTAGCATATTGCCTATATATATCCTCAACCTTATCCCGTTTCTTATAAAATTTTAAATGTTCATGTATATTCCGCCTGTTTTTACCTACGAAAGATATTGACTATAAATTTTAGGGTGTTTTTGACGATTTCAGAAAACTTGTTTTAAGTGGTATCTTCAAGATATTGTTTTTTATTTGACAAAATTTGGGCCCGAATATTTCAAGTTCAAAATCTAGCCCATGAACCAAGTCTTTTTGTGAACCAACTCTTATATGGTTTAGCTTTAGCTGGGTTAAGATAAAATTAGTGTAGCAAACTTCTATTTTAAAGTTGACAAATACACCCTCGCATTCCAAATTTTGTTCATACTAGAAGCTAGTAAATGAATAAGGGGCTGTTTGGTCCATCAACAATTTTGGCATTTGGAATGGATTACAAATTCTAGGAGCAAAAAATCATCACTTATTTCTTTTTTGGATTCCATACTCGGTGTCTGTTTTAATAAAAGTTTTGCAATATTAAATCCCTAAAATGCAAAAACAAGCCTTTTTTGAGATTTGCAGAATGCTATCAATTGGAGAGGATTTGGTATTTTGGTGCTTCATGTCAACAAACACTCCTCACACCATCTCCCAAATATTTGTTGTCCTGCAATTTTAGAATTTAAAATTACAAATTTTAAATTTTACTTTTCTATAATAATATTAAACCAAATAAAATATTTAAAATCCTAAGATACATATAGAAACCTATAAAATTTAAAATTATCTATAAAATTCTAAATCCAAAAACTTTAGGATTTGAGCCAAACAGCCCCCATGGTAACTTTCATGACCGAGCCCCCCTTACCAAGACCAACCTCTCCAAAATCGACCACAGCCGTT